ACCCACTGTAGTTCTCCTCTCGACGGACTACATTTCTGGTAGCAGCTCCTTGTTGCTATTACTACAACTTCGTTTCCCTTAAGCTCGGTTATCCCTTATCAGTGGTTAGGACCCTCCTCTACGTGCTTGGCTCTCAAATTGAGAGTCTCAATGTCGTCACCTGATAACGATCTTGGCATTCAGAAGAAGGATCTGTCGCTCATTGAAGAGCAAGCAAGAGCAGATGCTACTGCTGCTGGTATGGACGACGATGCTACTCAGTATCACATACGGTTGGCCGTTGACCATGCCAGAGACTACAACGACCTCTTTGACGCCTTGTCAACTCGGGCTGAGGCTGGTTCTGTACGCCCTCAGGCTCCAGTTATCGACAGTGGCCACAAGGAGGAACTTCGTGTCAATCTGCAAATGCCTAAACGATACAGTGGTACCACCGACTTTGCTGCATAGTTGAGACGCTACGAGAACACTGCTAATGCTGTCGGTTGGGCTTCGTCTACGAAGGCTTCTCGCTTAGGAATGTACCTCACCGATGAGTTCTACGAGATGTGGGATCAGTACGCCTCTAAGCAGACCTTCGAGGAGGACAGTCGAATCATGGCATGATTATCATGCTGCAGATGCTGGCTCATCGACCAGCCGACGCTCTCTTGGATAACTTTCATGATCTTCGGTGGGCTCCTGGTACTAACTTCGGCACGTTTCTAGCGCGTGCTCGACGTATGTTGGCCGAATACGATAAGAAGTTAACTGATGATAAGAAGCTCTCCAACGCTTTCCTCGACCAGATGATTCTCAACAAGTTGATCGCCTTGGCCCCAGCTTCAGCGAAGGCGGAGCTGAGACGACGTCAGCCTACCGGGTAGGCCCTACCCGCATTGAGGAAATGGTCGACATCATCAGCGACTACGCCCCGGCTACTGACCTGACTTCGGCTTCGAGCCCTGCATTGCAGCAAGTCGAAGCCAAGTTGCAGAAGGTTCTAGCAGCGGTGACGACTTCTACTTCTCCGGCAGATAATCTATTGCAACAGCTCACCGGTAAGATACAAGGAATCGAGAAGCAGTTACAGAATCCTCAAAGTCGCCGACCATGGATTCGTCGACCTGGAGTCTGTGGTATCTGTCGAGGCAATCATGCTACTAAGGATTGCCCTGAGAAACGATTCGGTTCTGGTTGTTATCTATGTGGAAAAGAGTCTTGCAAGAAATTGTCCTAGCCGACAAGGCACCGGAACTAGGCCCGGACTTTCGTCGTCGGGAAACTAACTCGGCGGTTGACGAGGGGTCCTCAACCGCCGGACCCTACGGTATATCTCTGTACGTTCGGCGCAGAGATTGGTTTATTTTCACATGCTGAACTCCTGACCGATGTTCAAGTTACCTCGCCGTTGAAGGCTTGTTTCGATACGGGTAGCTGTTTTTTCCTTGGTTGATCGTAAGTATCTTCCAAGTGGATATACGCTTCCGCGAGGGTCTGGACTGTTGTCCATGCGTTCCAAAGCATGGTGAGCAGAGTGTTCAGGACCCAAACCCAAACCAGACTCAATTGACTTCTCATACCGCCTCTCACGAACCTTACGAGATACATAACCCTTGACCTTAACAATCCTACACACAGGGGTAGGATGGTCAGTGTTATCCACCATAGTATTAGAGCCCTTACCACTTCTAGTCAATACCATAAATAACTTATTGAACTCAATATCTGTCACTTGACAAATACCGTATACTATCCCTCAGCTATTGATGGAAGCGTAGCCACTAGCGGGTATACAATAATGAAACCGTATACCTTAGACCCTGTGCCTAAGTCCAGGCTCCAGGGGAAGATTCAAAGAATCAACTTCAGACCAACCTTAAAACCTTACGTGTGATGCGCCTGCATTCACGCAGGAATAATGTGACGTGACGTGACTGCATTCACGCAGGAATAATAGACAACACGCATACACAGACCATGATTCGCACAAAGCAATATAACAGCCGTAACACAGTAGAACCGTAACGAAATGATATCATACTAACGGTATAGCATGATCACACGTTAGCAGGGCTCCGTACTCTGCGCTGAACCGCACATGGTACTGTTATATTTCCTTGTACTAATATCGATCTGGTGACTATTGAAAGGAAGCCATTCCCTATCTCTGGAATCTCGAGGTTGAGGCTACGTTTATATGATTCGCCGACACTTACGTTCGATGCATCATTGCCTCATGACTTATGAGACATCATCTCAAAGGTCTCATGAGTCATGAGACCTTTGAGATGTTTTCCTTGTTGTCGATAGTCTTGCTTTCGACATGATCCTTGGCCATGATTTTATGGCACATTTTTCCCTGCATCCGGCTTATGCAGGTCGACCCTTTGCTATAGTCGGAAGTCCAATTACACGGTCTGCCCCACTATTGCCATCGGGTACCTCGACAGTGTTAGGTAGTACTTCGCCTATTCCGTTCGACAAGACTCCATGTGAAGAAGTAAGCTCCTCTGCAACTCCGACGAAGGACGACGACGAGCGACTTGCCTGTTCTTCTGAGTCTATGATGTCTGATGATACAATTTTCCGCTCTGTTCCCCAACAAGCCCAGTTGATCGACATCAAGATCAAAGGTCTCGGCGTTGTCTTCGGTAAACCTGTGGTTAGTGCTGTTGCTCCTACGAACGATTGGGTTAACTATCCTAAGTCCTCGACAATAACAACAGCTGGTTCCGAAGACGTCGAACAGTGGCCCGGACTCAATGCCACTACTGATATGCTCCAATATGATGACCTTGCTAGGACCTTGGATTATGCTGTCCCCGATTTTCACGACGAGAAGGTCCCCCTTGCAATCTTTGATGTGTCTAAGCCTGAGACTCGAGGATATCGTGCTCTCTGTGAAGAGTAAAGCAGCCTCTTTGTCACTAAGCCTGGTCATTGTGATCTTGTGGAGCATGGTATCCCCGTTACCGACGAGGTTCCTATTGCTGAGAGAACCCGCCCCTTGCCACATAAATGGCGTGCGGAAATATCAGCGCAACTTGAAGAGTTGGGGCGTGATGGACCATCACTACTAGTGATGGTCCATCACGTAATCTACTAGATTAAATCTAGTAATGGTTGGTGGTTAATAGTGGCGTTAATTAATAAATTGTGTTATTGCCTATGTTATGGAGGGTTCTAGTGTTAAGGGAGAGCTAGTCTTGATGTCTCTTCATTCGTATTTCACATCCTTCTTTGTCATTTCATCTTCTAATATTGCCATCGCATCATGACAGTGCTGACAACATCTATTCTGGCCGGGCGGAAGTGATGCTGTTCGCGGATTCCTAAGACGAACCCGACTTGGCACCTTGTGATTTCCTATTGATATCGATAAACTATGGTACGCAAGTGCCAATTTCATGTAAGTCAGAGTCTGTTCTTTGTTGATTCCCCATATATTGGTAACCCTTCGTTCACCTGCCTTCACGAGTTGGGTTAATCATGCCTATCACTAGAAGCGGTAGCAACATCGATCCCCGGGTTGGACATTTCCGTCAAAAATGTTTTCGTGCATATCTCCTTGAGCTGTTCGAGAAATCAAGTTGTCCGATTTTTTTCACAAACCAGGGGCACACCGAGGGGTCGTTTGATCTATCCAGTGGCTTCCTACGCTCCGTAGTTAAGTCAGAATAGTTCTGCACGCACGCGCGCACAACGCGAAAGTGCCTGTTGTTGCGGTATATGCTCGGCTCGCTTCGTTCGCTACGCTCGCTCCGAAATTAGTCAAAATTTCGGATACTTGGTTGCGTTAAGTCGAGAACATAATGTGCCGAGCTACGATGGCTCGTCTGCCCCTTCACGCCGTGAAGTTCACAGCCCCAACCTTTGTCCATCAGACACCATCGTCTTATCTCGCAATTTCACTCACTTTCGCTCGCCGTTCCGTGACGTGACGCACAGTGCGTTACACACGCTTCTATGTGTCCCATACGTCACGCTGAGGACTTTATAGTCTTTTCTTCATCTCTCGTGACTCGAATTCCATCTGCCTACATCACGCCGAGTTCGTAAATTGGCACATCAGCGAAGAATAATGGGCCGTTCGTGAGGCTCCCAAAGCACGATCAATGAGCAACGGCAGTGCCGTTACGGCACACGCAAACACATGGTCTGATCGGATGTAAGCAGTCGCACGCATCCTCAGTACAGAGACCTTCCCAAAAGCCAGGAGCGGAACGCTTTAAGATGAGAGACTACTGAGATTGTAGAACCATCTGTTTCTAGCTATATCAGCTCCTTATGCGAGAACGAGGAGAAGGAAGATAACAAGATTGACTATCTGATCAGCAACAGCCACCACGTGACATGGCAGGGTGGTCGTGGAACTGCACACACGTGCAGGTCGTCAGGTGATCGGCGCGTGCCAAACAAGATGGATGAGCAAGATGTTACGCTCCAGGTGAAAACTTCTTTCGGCCATACATGAAACTCCTCATCTCCCTTTTGTCTGGAGTACTCTCCCTCACGGTGATGGGAGACAAGGTGGCTCTGCGCTCGCTCGACGACTACGAGTTTCGTGAATACGAGGACGGCGATAACCTATTTCTCGTGGAAGATGAATTTGCCCCTGTGGATTGTGAAATATTTCGTTGTTGGGTCGCAGTGGACACCACAAAACAAGTGAGACCACTTTCAATTGCTCTATTGAGCTCGATGGTTGACTAGTTGACAGCTGGATAATGACTAGCCGAGTAATCACATGGATATACATGAATTGTTTTTTGTACAAGCAGACTGCTTGAAGCATCTTCCCTGCTTGACTCAGTGTTTTAATACTGTGGGTTAGCTAGCTATCTTCTCTCAGATGGTCGTCGCCATGTTGGATATGTCTATTCCTAAGGCCAGTTTGGCATATGAAGTCGAAAAAGCGATCAAAGATAAACGGTAAGCATTACCTATTGAAAATGGCTCCTTCTCGTGCGAGGCGGGGCTCTTACGTCTGGCTGAACTTTACTTATGTAGGCCGAGTGGGTGCAAGCATCCGGGTGGGGCCATCGGCGCCATGTACAAGGTAAGCTTGATAGAATCCTTCGACTTGAAGTTGTTGCCATTTGAACTTTCAGTTGGTGGTCGCTGAGAAATGGAAGAAGGCAGGGCTTGAGGCTGGACTTCTATCGAAGACCTTCCAAGACGTGAGTCTGCCACGACACTCTTCGTCGAACTGTTCGACTCGTACAGTGCGGTTATCCATTGTCGTGGAGATGCTCATTCACACGTCTGTGTTCAACATTTGTTTCCTTCCAGCTTCCTAAAGTCAAGCCGAACTGGGATGTCGTCTACGTCTGGGCGAACCCTGCGGATGGTCCTCGAATCGCCCTGTATAAAGAAGCTAAGTTTATTAAAATATTGGGTGAGTTTCCTTGTTCAACTTGAAACATGGCACGGTGTGTCTAAATTCCCGGCATCGCGCTCACTAGTCATCCGAAATATCTCTGTTCTCAGACAACCAGGGAGCAAGTAAGCTTCAAGCTTATGCCCGCTACAACAAATGAAAGGGTGTCGTCACAGATCACGTCGTCATCCTCGTTATCCTCTTTCGTTCGTTTTTCAACATTCGATGATATTTTTTCTGTCGTTCTTTTTGAAAGACCGATTATCGCTGCCCTGATCTCGTCAACATGAAAATGTTAGTCAAGAGTTAGCATCCCTTATTCGAGTACAGTAGACGATCTTTTTACGTACTTCGTCTGTGCGCTGCGCCTGAGAACACAGTACTACCTTCGCCTTACGATCAGTACGATTATCCTTGCCAGTCTACAGCGTACCTCCCTAAGCTATGAGACACCCTTGTGTTACACCAGTTACGGGACAGCTTCCCACGGGATCTGAACTCAGCGACGACATCTAGAACAACGCCATAGACCAATCATCACAACCACCAATCTTCTCTCGGGCGACCCCGCAGAACCCAGCGCCCAACTGCATGATTTCGGGGAACGGTAAAGGGAGCGTGTAGAATAGCTGGACTCATAACACAAAAGGGAATAGTGATGATTGAATACGATAATAAACATACAATAAACTTTCGTATTGTTAGAGAGAAGATCATCGCCGAGGTGCAATGCCGAATTGTCGGAATCCAGGCGCCAACGAGTCCTCTCATATACCAAAAGTCCGAGGAGAAATAGTGGATGTAAATGATAACCGTCGAGTGATCTGAGGTCGGCAACTTTCATGCTTGACGGAACTCTGACGTCAATCGGCTGTTTGCTATCAAGCGAGAAGATCTTCGACACGGCTGAATCGGAGATCTTTCGGGTATCAGCCAATCGTCTTTACGTAGCGTCTTTCCAATTTTGTTCTCCCGAGTCGTTCCCACCTCGCCGATTTGATTGGCCTCCACAACGTGAGGATGAATTTTGTTAAACCTTTCGATGACTCGTCCTCCCGTTGATGTGTTTGCATCGGCGATTGAATGATCGTCTCGAGAACAATGACGATGCAAAACGTACCTGCAGGCGGCATTCGAACGGCAGCGAAGTTATTCGGCCTCACCGAGCCAACTACCCAACGCTCTTGGATAACGAATCCGGCATGTTTTCTCATGTTTAATAGTTGACTAGCAAGAAGCGAGTCTCAAGTTCAACATAGTAAATAAGGGAGCCGTCGATGCGTGGGCTTACAGATATTAGTGCCTTGGATGTTGCCTTTTCGGCCCTTTCATAAGGTATTTGCCCGCCCAGGACATCGATGGCGGGAATGTGTGCAATCGCGTGGAATGATACTTCACCAGTCATTATATACGAGTTAACAAGTTAACACAGGTTAAATACCGATACGAAGGGCGCGTCACATCATGCGCACGGGTAGCACGCGTGCGTATCATCCGTGGTGCGTCCACTGTCCATGTTCAGCGTGCGTAGCGAAACGGTTCGTACGTACGTGCGAACATCAGCACGACATTACGAAGGCAGCCGGTGCATGCCGTGCATAACTTATTTCATGCCTCGAGAATACGAGGCGAGTCTGCGCTAGGGCAGGCGGCGTGTGCCACCGCCTTCAACCTAGTGCGGTCCGTTCAGTGCGATGGTCCCGACGGCCCGAGGAACCCTTCTAATAGGCTTCCAACGTTTTGAGGTTCCCTCCGTTCTTTCGGACCCATGATGCTGCAGCGTTGCACCCGGCCTAGCTCAAGCGGCAGCTGCCGCGCCGAATAGGTCTTTGGGTTGCGCGGCTACCGGGGTGGCGAGCTCGGCTCCCCCATGGCGATCTTGTTCAATCGCGACGTCCAGCTGTGTCTCAGACTTTGCTTGCTGCAATGTCCTCTCCTGCGAGCAGCTCCAAT